GGGGGGGGGGGGTTAGCCGTGGCCCTTGGCCCTGTGGCCCCAAGTTGCACAGGTGAACTGTGGCTCCCCTGCAGAGGCGCTGGGGGGGGCTATGCAAGGTCAGCGAGGGAGGCCGTTCTCCTCGGCTTCCCCCACCCTGCGCCCAGAGCGGCTTCTTTCACTCCAGTCGCCTTTCTGCTTTAATGCCAGCCACCCCTGCCGGGCAAGACGCAGCTCTGCCCGCCTGCTCCCAGGCCGTTCATTAATTGATTAAATCTGCCGACATTGGCTGGTGACTAAAGGGAATCCCTTCGTGGCTGAGGCGGATCCCAGCAATTTATGAGAGTAATTGGCATCTTGAAGGAGCTCGGAATGGACGAGGCGCCTCTTTTAGGGCAAGGGCAATTCTCGGGATTTTGCTTTCAAATTCATCCAGGCAGGGTCATTGGGGGTTCAAGAAGTCAAGAGGGAAGGTGCATGTGAAAAAGAGGTGTGGTTTTGCACAATTGAGGCGGCCACCTTGTCCTATGTTGACTGCCCCAATCCCCTTACGTCCAAGATGCCTTTTTAAAAAGTCAATTTCAAAGGCTTTTGGTAAAGATTAGATTTGTCTTATTTCTGCCTTTCCCCCCTTTTGTGCCAGAGGCATTGAAATATTTGCACGGGCTCTGTTCCTAGGGGTAATATAGAGGGGGTTTGCCCTTAAAGAGCAGGATTTTATTCTCTATTTATTATTAAATTTATAGCGCACCTTTCTGTACCAACACTCATGGCAGCTGACAACAATTTAAAAATGCAAAATGTAGCAGAAATATCAATATAATGAAAATCAAAGTCGGGCTTTAAGATCAATCAAACGTCATTAAAATAATTATCCATCAGATGCTTTGTGGGGAAGCCCAGCCCTTCTCCCCAAACTTACGACAAGCAGGAGGACACAGGGCTAGAAGAGAAAGAATTAAAAAAATATATAAATTGTTAGAAAGCAGATGGACACAAAAAATAAATACCCCAGACATGAGTAACTGGGAACAACCCTTGGCTGATAACCATGAGGACTAGATCCCTGTGTGACCTGCAAAACTTTTGGAGCAAATGATGCTTTTGAATTTGGGGTAGGCTGTCCTTGCACACCCCCGTAGCCCACAGATGACTTGATGTTTGTCCATTATCCAATACCACCAGTGTCAGTGGCCCCCTAATCCTGGGCGTGTAAGATCATTTGGGGAGAAGACTAGACACACTCTGCAAACAGAATCACAAAATGTGAGGATCAGAGGGGACCTTCAAGGTCATCTAGTCCACCCCCCGCCGGCTCTGCTTCCTGTCTGAGCAACGCCCCAGCACTGCTGGACC